CGATCACTTGGCAACTCGCTATGCGCCTGACGATCACAAAAGGCTGCGTTTGTACAGAAGTGAAACATAGGAATGATCCAGATGCAGAGACCGACCCACATCTAATGGTTCTTAATTGCTTCAAGCTTAGCTGGCCGGAAGAGGTGTGGCTCGGTGCACAATCAGTGGATGTGACTCTCCTAAACTCCGCTCTTCTCACGCGTGAGCTCGCGTCGAGGGGGGTGTGATTTGTCACTGACATGCGTATATGTGCTTCTGCCTTCTGGTTAGGAATCAGACCAACTTTGTCTCACTACGCAGCTTGACTGCTCAAGGACCGCCTAGCGAGTCCCAGGAAAAGACCGCTTACAGCCTGGGGGTTGTAGGACCTGTCTTCTACCTGAGCGTCAACCTTACGGTTTTAACTCTGATCATCCTTGCTTTGCCTGCTGCATTGCTTTTTATCTACGATCGGCTGCCTTGGGCTTTGTGACCGAGAGTTGAGTGGAATCCTCCGCTTTTCACACATATGTTTGATTTTCCAGGCGCAACTCCCGACACCTCCAGCCGCGACTGGTGATTTCTCTGTGTGCTGCTGCACAGGGCGATGCCTTCTTGGCCCAGTCGCCCCAGCTTTACAAGCAAATGGCACTGATGACAGACATGCAACTCAGCTGGAATTTGGTTTCAGGACATGTCCACATTTAACACTTGTCGATGGCACTTCCTATGTCAACGTAGCAAATATTTCCTATTTGTGAGAATGCTATACATGAAACTGACAGCAGCAGGTCAGAGATTGATTGCCCGTGGCTGAAAACTGGGGCTATGGGTTACATCGAAGCACTGCCCAATCCCTAAACTAAACCCAGACAAGTAATATACCGAATTTCCTGGATTTGACAAGAAATCACGTTCTTCTGACCCGGTGTTCGAAATGCAAAGCGACAGGAGAGTGCAATCTACAGTAGATGCGCTGAGCCAGAAGCGCCCAAATCCGAAGCCCTGGACGAAGAAGCCCTCATCCTGGAACCGAAGCAGCCAAGCCATTCCGAGGCCTCGCGTCTTTGAGGTCGGTCCCATTTTCCGGTCCGAGAAATCTTTCACCCACAGGCCGGATCGCACTTGTCACAGAGTGACGCGGACAAAACGGAGGGCTGAGTGGCCAGGCTCATGGTTGACTTTTCGGAGGATCGCAAATTTGCTTCCGGTAAGTGTAATGCCACAGATACTGCTCGAGTTGCAGGTCTCTACCTGTTTCCCGCCCTCCGTCCTTCCTCCTCTTCTCACTTAGAAAGTAGTTTGTCCCCCTATGAAGCCAGGTGCAGCAACCCATGTTGGTGGAAACGGGGTTTGAGGGGTACATGGAAATGTTTGTACCCATTGTTGCGACCGTATGTTTTAAGCATGCATGCACAGAAACACCAAATGTTCTTCGTTCCAGCTTGTTTCAGCCAGCCAGCTTTGGCTTCTTCGTGCCATCTGCCACCGTTGCCGTCATGAGCACAGGGACAGACAGAGAGAAGCTAACAAATGTGCGCACAAGAAGCCCTACACAGCCGAACAAACACAGCGAGGAAGACAGACGTATACAGTGCGCGTAGGCGTAGATTCGTAGATAGTTACCTAGCATAACATATGTATGCTTGCGTGTATGTCTGTGTGCACAACAACCTACACACATATATATATATATATATATATATATGTATGGTCACACCCCCCCCCCCATGATCCACCCCAGCCTTCTCCTCAACTACTCCTGTACTGTCCTCTGGTACAAGATGCGTATTGCTAAAGTCAGAATCTATCGGTATTTACGCTGTTTTATGCAGTTCATGTACATGTACAGATGCGGCTTTTCGCTTTTTATATCATAAACAAACAAGCCAAAACCGAAACCAGATTCTGGTTCTGGATTCTGGTTCTGCTGCCGCGCTCTTGTCCACTGCTTCGTATCAGCTCTTGCTGTTCAAGTCAAAACTTGGCCTTCCTATTTTGGAGTTTGTCGAACTACTTACGATGTACAGTTTGAATAGACACAGCTGCTCTTCTCTTCATAACATAAGCTGTAAGGACAACTCCTTCAGTGAAAGCAAACATGCCAGTGGTATGTTTGGCTTACTAGCAACATTGTAACCACACTAAACAGAGGTGTTGCCCATCAGACATGGAAAGGAATCCCCGTGTATCTTCATGCTTCAAGGGAACCTCGAACAACATCATATCTTCAAAATTTCAACCGACAAGGGAAGCATGGTTGTTCTTGTTCAGGTGGTGTTATCAATAGAAATCTTGTTTCAGCACAAAGAAACACAATAAGCCACCTTAGTCCCTTATCAGTCGCTGGAACTCAGTGGCTGGAACTCAACGAGCTCTTGCAGTATACCAATACCACAAAATCGGAGTGATTAGGGAAAGACATGGTCTCCCTCCACCAAACTCCAAATACATTCGGTCACAAGCATAGTATGTCGAGCTTCTTACGCTTTATACTTCGTGGGAATTAAGACAAGCATGTATCTGGAAAGCATTCGTTATTGAACACATTTGTTTTTTCTTTTTAACAGATGCAAGACGATCCTGGCTCAGAACACATAATCGAGCTCCGTTGCACCGCGCTACTCGCAAGAGTTATATAGCTCCTGCCATCTTTGAATACAGCATGAATACAGCATGAAACAGCTCCAGACCTCTCCTCATAGCCTCCAAGAAATGGTGGAAAAACATCTTTTCTCATTATGCTTTAAGGAAAACAGTCAAACACTGGACTTACTTCTTGAGCAAGGTTGACCTTGACTCGGTTATGATTTTGCTCCACGAGAGAAGAGTTAGTACCGCCAGTAATCGAAGCAATTGAAAGCTCATTTACCAGGTTCCCCAGTGCCGCCTGAATGGCACCTTATATGTAATGATATGAAATATCGGAGCTTATCAGCTTCTTCAGTTTGTGAGGTAATATAGAATACAAGGAATACTTCTTCTTTGTTCAAGCTACGGGCAAGAGTTTAAGAACTCGACAGCATCTAAACATGATGTACAGTTCAACGAATATGTGCATTCGCAAAAAAAACGTTCTACAAGTTGTAAAGCATTCACAAACACAAGCAGGTTTCAATATTCTAAAGTACAGCTGTTCTTCTATTTCTTACATTGAGCAAAGGTGATCTTAACAACAGCTATGACTTTGTTCGATGAAAGAAGCAAGAGCACACTTGAGAACGGAAGCAATTGAAGGCTCATGTATGAGCACATGGTACGGCTGTTCTTCTATGACTTTTGCATTTCAGGTTTCAGGAATCTTGGAGATTCGAGCCTGGCAGTGTTTTCGCATCCGAGGTTGCCAAAACACCGCCAGGCACCAATTTCCCCAAACTTTGTGAGGCTGGAAGTGCCAAAACCTCGCCAGGCACCAATTTCCCTAAAATCCCCGAAATCCTGGCATCTATGGAGGCCGTCAGAGTTCAGCTGTATGAATTTTGGGGAAATTGGTGCCTGGCGGTGTTTTCGCATCCGAGGTTGCCAAAACGCAGCCAGGCACCAATTTCCCCAAAGTTTGTGAGGCTGGAAGTGCCAAAACCTCGCTATGCTCCAATTTCCCCAAAATCCCGGCATCTATGAGGCGTGCCGGGCCATAGTTGCTCAGAGTTTGGGGATTTTGGTGAAATTGGTGCCTGTCGATGTTTTCGCACTTCCGCCTTTGCAAACTTTGGGGAAATTGGTGCCTGGCAGTGTTTTCGCATCCGAGGTTGCCCAAACACCGCCAGGCACCAATTTCCCCAAAGTTTGTGACGCTGGAAGTGCCAGAACCTCGCTATGCTCCAATTTCCCCGAAATCCCTGCATCTCTGAGGCGTGCCGGGCCATAGTTGCCCAGAGTTTGGGGATTTTGGGGAAATTGGTGCCTGTCGATGTTTTAGCACTTCCAGCTTTGCAAACTTTGGGGAAATTGGTGCCTGGCAGTGTTTTCGCATCCGAGGCTGCCCACCTCCCATGATCCACTGTTTGCAAGAAGCAGGTTCGGGTGGATCATGGGGGTTGGCGTGAGCATATATACATATATATATATATTTATTTATTTATTTATTTATTTATGTAAATCTATCGACTTCCAAGCAATGCGAGAGTGAAAGATATGAATCTGTCTGTGGATGAGGATGTGGATGTGGATGTATGTATGTGTGTTTGTCTGTCTGTCTGTCTGTCTGTCTGTCTGTCTGTCTGTCTGTCTGTCTGTCTGTTGATCGTAGTGTTTATCCGTTGTGACATGGCCACGCAACTGCCGGGTTATGTTCACTGTAGCTCCGACTACGCAAAGCGTCAAAGTCAAAATGTCTGTCTGTCTGTCTGTCTGTCTCTCTGTCTCTCTGTCTCTCTGTCTCTCTGTCTCTCTGTCTCTCTGTCTCTCTGTCTCTGTCTGTGTCTCTGTCTGTGTCTGTGTCTGTGTCTGTGTCTGTGTGGGTGCGTGCGTGTGTTTGAGTGAGTGGATTGCAAGAGTGCGTGTGCGCACGTGCGTGCCTGCACGCACGTGCGTGTTTGTGTGGGCGGGCGGGTGGGTGTGTGGGCGGGTGTGTGTAGGTCAGTGTAGGTGGGTGTGTGGCTGTGTGAGTGAGTGAGTGAGTGAGAGAGTAAGTGAGTGAGTGAGTGCTCGTGTGTGTGTGTGTGTGTCTCTGTGTGCTGTGTTTTTTTTGTGTGCGTGTGTGTGTGTGTGTGTGTGTGTTCGTGTGTGTGTGTGTGTTTGTGTGTGTGTGTGTGTGTGCGTGTGTGTAGTGCGCCCACGCATGTTGATGTGCTATTGCATGCGTACTACATGTTCTAGATTCTAGACGTCGTCGCAAGTGTTCACATGTCTCTATCATGCTTGCAGGCCACAGAAATGAAGCTTTGCGCTTAACCAGTCCATCCACCACACCTCCGAGATGCAGGGGGATGTTCTGTTCTGATTTCATAGCACCCAGCGAGAGACAAAGTTCAACCGGCCACCTAAATTGGTTCAATTCGAGCTCCCCAGAAGCCAGGCACATGACCGAGTTCACCGGCCTTGACCTTGAGATGACGTTCAAAGACCACTACCATGAGGCTTTCCGACTGTGCTGCTGCCTGGTTTTTCGCTTCTGCACAGCGATTTTGAGTTTTTGCGGCGGAGGTATAGTGAATGTTCACTGCCTGCATAAATTAGCTGACCTTCGGAGTCAAAGAATAGCTTGCAATTCAGTATAATGAGTATATAAACTCGTGCATACTCGCCAGATGGTGTCCAAGGAAACCATCAGTTGTGCAGGTGCTGGACGTTCTCGATGGCCTCTTCAACCACATATTCACAGGCCACACACGATTGTTACTTGAATTGGTTGCATGTAGATGCAGAAAAGCCGTGTACTGCGGCGATTTCTGAGAAATCAAGGCGTTTTCTACCTGGACGCCTTTGGATCTTCAATACAAGTACCCAAGTGCGACAGTTGACACATTCCTTTTGCCAGGCCTCACCGAGAAGTTTGCTCGCGAAATTGAGGCTGTCAAAACCCAGTATCCCTTGGAGGACCATCCGGCTACATCTTTTGGCTTGAGGCAGTTGCCATGCAAGCTTTTGAAGAACATTAACATGGCATGTTGTACTATAGCAGAGTCTAGGAATCTGTCAGGGTAGCAACTCCGAAACAACGTCGTACTTCAATTGGGTGTTGTCGTGTGCACATTTTCGGATACAGCTGCATGCCGGCCACAGATGCTGCAGTCCCGTCACGCAGCGCTCGAACTGCGTAAAGTCTATAAAGTCAATTGGCATTCGGGCCTTTGGGACTCTTCCTTGTGCTCTTCTACTTTTCGCCAGTACATCGGATGTTTTGTTCTTCGCTTGTCAAGCAGCCGCTCCTAGTGGTTTTCGGAGGGTTGGTCTCGGGATGTGGCCTTGGTGTGATCTTACAGTGGTCTTCTCCGGATCCAACGCACAAGGCTAATTAGTGTGTATGCTGGTGCGCAGGACCTGAAATGGAAGCACCCGTGCCTCCGTCTGAAGTGCCCCTTCCACGTTGTTGGCAGCTTGCGCACCGAATGTGCCTTTCCGGCGAGCACCTTAGCGTATCTTTGGCGCAGGGAGGATTGCGGAGACCTGCCAAGTTTTAGCATTCGGCTGTGCTTGTAGCGTCTGCAGGATCTGCATGGTCCACGAGCCCAGTGTTGTGCGCAATGCTTTTGTTGACATTTGCACTTCCTGCTGCACTCCAGTCCACTCAAAGCAGGTGCTGTGCACGGGGTGGTGGCTGCGAATCTCTTCCATTCGCATGCAGGATCAGTTCATTTCAGACAGCAACAAAGCAGATAAAGCAGGAGTATCCCATCAACAGGCTTCTTTGCAGGATCTCATTCCAACCCGTGAGTGATCCTTGATAAAGTTACTCGACGCAGAGCCACTAGCCGGACCATGACCTAGCCGACTGGGTCGTCGTCCGAATGGAGTTTGACTCGCTCCCACCGCTGCGGTGTGCTTGGCGTTCACCTCCGCGTGGATTGACGGGGCCGGCCCTGGTTCAGGGCTGGGGCGGGTTTCCTCGGATTCTGCGCATTAAGTGTTCTGAAGATGACCTATGAGTTCATATGCGTTGCCAGAATCAGCTGTGTGTTCTTGTATGACACAAGCGACAAAACGTGGGGTGAAGCAGCAGATGCACTTTTGTACTGCAGGCGGAAGGACGCGGTAGGAACTCCAAAAGATGCCAACACATCATACGGGCTCCGACATCTATATCGATCCTCATGTGGCCCTTCAGGTCTGAAGCGAGCTACAAACGCCTTGTGATGTTGTGATATGTTGTGGGACATTTTTTGCAACCAGCTTGAGACCATGCAACTTTGCATATTACCGTACTTGGCATCTTGTCCGGCGTGAAGCCGCAACTCTTCCCCAATACTGAAGCTGTACGTCCGTTCGTATTCGCTGATGAGCTTTGGAGAATGAAGTGCCGGAGCTCTATCAGACAGATCAAGCGCAGGAGAAGTGCTTGAGAGTTCATCCTGTTCACCGGAGGTCGCCGACGCCATCAAGCAGCTCATCTCCGTCCATGAGCCCGAGCCACTCTGCCACCGACACGGACCTCTGGATCCCGAGTGTAGATGGCTTGCTTCATTGCAGCGAACGGGGTCCTTGACTGCATCTGTTGCAGTTGGCCCGCATGCCAATGCCGGCGCCGGCGCCACGTCAGTAATTGGTTCGCACGAGCTTAGCTGACTCTGAGCTCTCCGGCATGCAGTTGCTGTAGAGACGCTTAGTAGGGTTTTGGGTAGCATGCTTCCCGCCACCACACTTGCAGCATCCCACTGTTGTATGGTCCCGCCTGAGCAGTGACCCCAAGACTTGGAAGGACATCGCGGTGTCTTGGATTTCGGCGAGCGAGAGACAGCGGCGAGCAACCCGAGGGACCCTGGAGGACTGCTGCAGGATGAAGTGCAGGAAAACCACGAAAGCCCAACGCTCGGCTTCGCACATCGACCTGCACTTGGGGTTTCACTTTAACGTTCCTCCGAAGGACAGTAACTGTGCGAGTCCAACCTCGCCAGCATCGTGCATCGTGCGAACTCTGCGAACTCGACCCGGGACGAGTATGGAGGTGGGTTAGAGCTTTCGTGGCTCGGATTAAGATCTGGGATGTCGGGCATGTGTAATTACAGTGCTTAGTTCGCAGCGATCTTGAGCAATTTGAGCAGCTGGAGGCTATCCAGACTTCACAACCTCTTGCGTGGTTCATGTTGCCATGCTCGAATGCTCGGGAGTCCGGATCGCGGGGCCCGTGAGATGCACGCTGAAATTGAAACCTCCGAATCAAGCTAGGTGTAGACGTTGCGCACGTTGGAATGCAGCAGCTTGTGCTTGCCCTGAACACTGCAACCCCCACCGGCGTGTTGATTGCGACCCACAGTCACCTCGCAGGGCTCACCGTCTCCAACCTCACGAAGCTCCGACGAGGTCTCCAATGCCTCGACCGAGGAGGCTCCGAGTCCAAGACTCGAGCGTGTCTTATGGCTGTTGCTACATTGCCAGTCGTGGTACTGGTATGGAGGGCGAATAAGGGGGAGGGGGGGCGGGCATGTGGATTTATCGAAAACTGGACAGAGGGATGCGAGAAGGCCAAGCAGGTTCACATCGTCGGACATATCTCACACGTTACCCGCTCTCCAGAGCCTTAGCCCTTTCACTTGCACGTTTAGTCATGTTTACCCGCTTTTTTGCCGTGTTGTTTTTGTTGATGTTTGAGGTGACCTCGCATAAATCGTTGGACTTTCCCTACTATGGTGTAAGCTAGGAGCTAAGGTTTCAGTGAGTGTAGCCCTTCAATTGGTCGTGGGAGTGTGTGCCGGCTTGTGTTCCCACTCGGGCAACCTCTAGACTCGGGCCTTGGATTGCAGAAGCACTTGCCTTCCGGCAAACAACGTGCGTGATTTCCGCCACGCTGACTGAACCGTCTGGTCTAACACGACCTATCCGAGCATTCTATATCTATGCACCCTGCGCTACGATCTACTAGACTTGGCCCTGAACACTGGACCCAGTAGTGCTACGTACTGTAATTTGCACTACGACGACCACTACTCGTAGTGCCGCAACAACAAGCAAGAAACAACTACTGTTAGACAGTTATGAATTACATACTACCACGACAACCCATTACCAACTAGTAGTACTACTACTATACCACTACTACCACCACTACTACCACGACGACGACGACGACTACTACTACTGCTGCTACTACTACTACTACTGCTACTACTGCTACTACTACTACTACTACTACTACTACTACTACTACTACGACGACTACTACTACTACTACTGCTGCTACTGCTACTGCTACTGCTACTGCTACTGCTACTGCTACCACCACCACAACTAAGTTTTCATTCCAATCGCAGCCGGTCGCTCAGCTTAGCGTCAGGTACGTGGCCGTGCATTGCATCGGTGCTTCAAGAGCACTAGAACCACATGGGCAAGTCCCGCTACGAATAGCCGCAAACTTGCGACCTACTCAACTTGTAAAAGAATGGTGCACCAGTGCACCCTTCACTCGATCAAAAAAGTACAAAATCAGATAAGTAGAAAGCGTGTACGTAAAACGTGAGAAAAAGTCGTAGAGCTATTGACATCACTACAGCCATCTGTTATGGCATCTTGCATTGATCATTATGTTTCTCTGTACAAAAGTGTAGTCGTAGTCCTGCGAACTGCAGTGGCCCCTGGAGGGCACACTGAGGACCACGTTCAGCACCCCGTAGTCCCGTGAACTGCAAGTGGCCTTTGGAGGGCACACTTTGAACGGTGTCAGTTCAGTACCCAAGGGAGGTCTGGCCGCAGAGCATCGCCAGAACACAGCTTTCTCGCACATGCTCACTGTGACTTGGAGAGGCGTAGCCAGAATCCAGACGCCATCCCATCCCAGGATGGGGTAGGTTGCCGCCGCCAGCTTTCGGTCAGCATTCGGGACAAGGCAGCGATGATCTGCAGCTACACACTCCTCTATCTGAAGGAAACGAAAGGTCCACAGGTACAAAGGTTGCGCTTGGCCATGTCGAACAGCTCTAGTGCAAGCTCGCACAAAAGATCTCTTGACGCATCGATTCCACTGATGAGTAGGTTCCTGCTCCCCATCTGTGGCCTGTGCTCCGTTCAGCTTCGGCATTTGAAGTCGTCGCGGACATAGGCAAGGAAGTTGCCTTCCCCAGCTCCAACGGAGAGAGCTGGAACCTTCTCACTGTGGGACGTCCTGACAATGTAGCAAAGTAGAATCGTCAGTCGGCATCCCACCCCGGACTTGGGACCGGGCCGGCTATCTATAAGGAGGTGTGGCACTGTGCTCTCAATGGGGCGGCCTCACGGCGCGCGCCCAGGAGGAATGCGGGTGGCATCCATGTCATGCTTGCGCCAGCTGCAGGAAAAGTTGCGCCAACTCCTGGCTGCTGCTAGACACGCACTTGCAACGGGCCAAGCTCCCAGTGCCCACAGACAATGGCACGAACGCAGAGGTAGCCTTTCTCCGGTCACAGGAGTCTGACGCGCTGGCAGGCCACGGACAAAGGCATACAGTCGACCCATGCGCCCTTTGTTGGGGCCAAAAGTCACCCAGCTGGCGAGCGTACACTCAATGGGGCGGCGTGACGGCGCGCGCCCAGGAGGAATGCGGGTGGCATTCACGTCTTGCATGCGCCAGCTGCAGGAAAAGTTGATAAGTTGCGCCAACTCTTGGCTACTGGTAGACACGCACTTGCAACGGGGCTAGCTCCCTGTGCCCACTGACAGTGGCGCGTAGCCTTTCTCCGGTCACAGCACGCGTTGGCAGGCCAGGGGCAAAGGCATTCAGTCGACCCATGCGCCCTTTGCTGGGGCCAAGAGGCACCCAGCTTCGCGAGCGTCAACAGTAGCGCTAGCGCGGCTCGCTGCACTAGGAATGTGATCATCACGTTTCGGAGCCGGACTCCACCGCAAGGTTTGCTCCATGGCATAGATGCTACCACCTCCACAACTATGAGTCCCGCTGCTGGGACACAGCTGAGCCGTAGTGCTTACTACCACCACTAACTAATACTACTACTACTACTACTACTACTACTACTACTACTACTACTTCTACTACTCCTACTCCTACTACTACTACTACTACTACTACTACTACTACTACAACTACAACTACAACTACAACTACAACTACGACTACCACAACTACTACAACAACAACAACTACTACTACTACTACTACTACTACTACTACTACTACTACTACTACTACTACTACTACTACTACTACTACTACTACTAAACTACTACTACTACTACTACTACTACTACTACTACTACTACTACTACTACTACTACTACTACTACTACTACTACTACTACTACTACTACTACTACTACTACTACTACTACTACTACTACTACTACTACTACTACTACTACTACTACTACTACTACTACTACTACTACTACTACTACTACTACTACTACTACTACTACTACTACTACTACTACTACTACTACTACTACTACTACTACTACTACTACTACTACTACTACTACTGTTACTACTGCTGCGGCTGCTGCTGTCCCCAGCCGCCACTGCCACGGCCACTGCTACTGCGAATGCTGGTACTGTTTGGTACTCGTATAAGCACTGCTACGATAAAGTCTACTACGACGACGACTGCTACTGCTACTGCTACGAGTACTACTACTGCTGTTGCTACTAATGCTACTTACTGCTACCAGAACTGACTACCTCTTCTACTGCTGCATCGACACCAGGTGCGAATTTGCCGGGCACCAGAAGGTGTGACCAGCGCCACGCCCCCACGCAGGCCGGTAAAATCCAGCGAGGCGCGTTCAGGAAAGAGCATATCGT